TTTTGGTTAAATTCACAGAAATTATAACCCAAACAATTGGGTAAAGACACAACCCAATTTTGGGTAGTTGCAGTTTTCACCCTTTCTTGGGTAAAATTAATCCAGGCAATTTTTCAGTGTACCACACACACAACGTGTATGCTGCATTCATTGAATAGACACGACTTGAAATACGTATGGGTATGCCACAAAATGGCCGTTGCCTCAGAAGTAAATAACGGGTTTTTTTTTTCTTTTCTCGTGAACGGTATAAGACATTATGTTTTTTTCCTTTCAACCAGACCTTAGAAATAAAGTAAACAATCCAAAACATGACAGTGTCGGGGATTTCAGGCCGCAATGCCCCTTTTAATGAAACTGCCACCTAGCCAGCAGAGTGTTAGCGGGTCTGGTAAACTGTTTTCACCAATGGTTTTCGATGTTATCCCACACCCCTTCTTTCTTGAAATTTTTTTTTCCTACCCCTATTACGTAGCGCTAAAAGCAAAGTTAGTATAATTTGCCATAACGAACACAATGGAGTCAATTACTTCAATAAAAGGTCGTTGAAAACGATGATATTTATTGGTCTTTATGTTAAGTATAGCGTGTTCATTACATGTCACGTTTTACTTTTCAATAAATTGCAATGCATTTTGTAAACGCATATCCCTCTATATACACAACCTTATGGATCTGGTTTAGTACAGTGTAAAACATACTAGTATTTAACTTTTGAACACATTATAACGCTTTGAGGCAACAGTTTATAAATATCTTAACACGTTAAAAGCGGAGAGACGTCATTTACTTTCGTAAAAGGCCTATAGGTTAAATTTTGAGTCTGATTCATTATTCAGATATCCATGTACCAAAAAAATCCCCAAACAGCCGAATTACGTTTGCAGCTTGATTTAGCTGAAATATGACTTTCACAGACACGAATTAACGTTCTGTTTACACTGTAAACGCCTCGTGAACGTGTAGCCGTTATAAGTTCAACGTCTTGATTAACTTATAAATGCTTATGTTTAGTTTATAAACGCGTCTATATAGTAATCTGCGGTTTTACAGCGTACGAGCCAAAAACGAAACAGTAGCTCTACGCTTCGATAAACATGATTATTATGATATTCTATCAGGAACCATTTTTTGTATATCCACGGATGTCTGTTCCCACTTAGCGTCTATTTATTCATGCTATCTCCCATCTGTACTTACCCCAAGGCTAGTACGCTCCCACAGACCCATATCGAAACTTCCACTAAAAGTTCCAGCCATCATGGCGGCTATATTAACAGCCCATTTTCCCTGGCCCTTTCGGTCGTGTGCACTTCAGGATATTTTCATAGGAAGGTTTTGATTATAGGTTGAAAATGTAACTGCCAACGACGCCTTCCCCGTACTTATCTCTCCTGTATATCATTAACCTCCTTGTTAAAACATAATGTTGGTGTCTGAAGCCTTGTTCTCCAGTTGCCAGTGAGATTAAGAGGTTAGGAAATTATACTAAGCTTCCCTCTGCCGGTTGAAATTACTGAAATATGTCTTCGTTGTATCGGTGATGCCTTCCAGACAGTGTAAGTGGAGGAAGCACAGTGTTAAGTCGCATCATTACTTTTCATCACCGGTCGAAATTGAACCGACGTGTCTTCAGCCAGCCTGCCCGTCCAGTCAGTTTCACCTGCAGCCGGGCCGAAACTCAGTATGATCTGGGAGGGAAGTGATGCATGGACCGGCTCAGGTTAAACTAACTGGACTTCTCTTCGTCGATCATTCACAGTGGCTATTCACTGGAAGACTGTTTATTGGCGTTGACGGGGTAATCCTATACAATAGCACTGCCCGGTTCTCTTCACCAGCCTACAACCAGTAAAGTTACACGTGACAGTCGGCGAGTCAGTCAGTCAGTCAGTCAGTGAGATAGGAAAGATATTACTCTAATTGGAACTCCCAAATTAGTGATACCGTATTGACGACGTACAGGAGAAGTCTGCGATCTTATATGCGCTCTCACTGCGTCCCTGAAAAATAGCTGGGGCGCAACAACAACTACTAGATCGCAGCGACAACTACATAGGTCGCCAGATGGGTGCCAGAGGGTCTTAATGGTCTCCGATGAGCGCAAAGGTCTTTGAACATGCTCAAAACAATCGCAACACCTCTGCGCTCTGGCCAGGGCGCCGTAATGACGCAACTCGGGCGCTGTGCGAGCGAGAATCGTGCGACATTGAAATGGCATTGAGGCAGCCTATAGGCGCAAGGCAGTCGACGTAGTCTTCATGAGAAAGTAACTCGACTGCGATGAACTTGTAGAATATTTTTTTTAGACTGGACTTTGTATTGACCGTTTTGTCGTGGTATTTATGCAGTGTAAGTGACGTCACGTGAGCGTATTTTGGTTGAATAGAGAGCGCGACGCATGCTACTAGGACGTATCAACAGCGAGCAGAGCGAAGTGTGAGCGCAGTGACAGCGCAGCGGCAGCGACTAGATCGAGTAATTGGGCTTGACAGGGGCGCATAGAGAGCGAGTTGAACGCATCGTAAGCGCGGGAAGAGCACAGTATGAGCGTAGCTTGAGCTTCTTTGAGACAGAAAGTTGTCATTTTATTGCGTCCTCGCTGCGATGGTTAAATTTATGAGAAAAAAAATGGTCTCCGTAAGGTCTCCTATGAGAGCGCATATAATGTGACAGGCCCTTTAAGGTGTATTTTGAAACATAAATTACACCCGATCGAATTGGAAATGGCACCAGTGGCCAACCCGAAATGACAGGTCGCCATTATGTCACGGTAGGAAGATGTATACGTGCGAATTGAGCGTTCGGCTTGGTTCTAATACTCTTCGGGCGTACGTGGCAATGCATAGAGCTCTTCGGTTGGCTGAAAGTTTGTATACGCCTATACAGTTTTTGCATGTATATATACATGTACGTGTCAAATGCAAAATGATCTTGATAATGTGTTAACTTAGATAGAAAAAAAGGAAAAACAAGTATTGTAGCTCACCAACAAGAATGATGATTGCAATTTTGCCTTTGGCAAAGAAAGAGGAGTCACGTTTCCGTCTGGTACCGCGGTGTCCATCATCGTTAGCGCAGCTGCCTTGCGGTAGGAATATGCACAGCGTTGCACGCTGCGTATAGCTATCAAACGTCCGGCCGGAGCCCGAGCTGGAGCTTTGCCAGTCACGTCAGCGTATACGAGGTTAAAATTATGCTCGTCGACCGCCGACTTGGATTTTTTTTCTGCAACCAAGTATTGTCAATCACCACAATGCGCATCATGTGAGTTGTACACGGAATGGTTCTCGGACTTTACTCCCCTTAAAGACAATCTTCCAGAGCCTTGAATCGGAAATTAAAAGTGCAATTTCCTTCGTTTACAATTAAGATTTGATTAAAGAAACATTCACATTTTGCAAAAATAAAGGTACATAAAGTCGATTGGATTCGAACCTGCGGCGTCCAGTATATCTAAAAGCACGGCGTAACTTCGATCTTCGCGATCGCCCACCCTTTAAAGTCATCTCAAATCACGTGATGTTTCACGCATGCGTAGTATGGTAATTGACAATACCTTGGTGCAAAACGATAACGCAAAATATGCACACGGTGTGTGCGTGATTACTGGATAGGAATAGGATTCTCAGCGATTGCGATACTGCACGGGGCCAAGAGGTAGGCCTACGCAGGCGCACTAACTTCATCATGACGGACTTGTCGATCCGGGGGTTATAGTTTCCGACACACCTATCTCGAGGATACATGAGCTGCGTTTCGGGCTGGCGTCAATTAGGTCTCAACCTGTGTACATCAAGCAAATCACGACTTGTATAAATTATATACAGTATTTTGAGCTTGCATTACTGGGACATTCGGTTAAACTTGGTTTCATCAGTATAGAAATGGGCTTCGTGACTATCTTTGGAACGTTGAGGAAAATACCACCCAAACTTTATCAAATAACACTTCCCCCCCCCCAAAAAAACCCCCACATTATCAAGGCAAATTAATATTTAATTTGATGTGTGTCTTGAGCGCCTTAGAGAGTGGTGAAAGCACTTTTTTCCTGATTTATTGAGAGTATATTTATCGATGGCGCCTATACGGCAATTAATTGACTAAGGTTTACAACCTGTTGTCATTCCTGTGTATATGATTCATGCATACAGCTACTGTGTCATCGATTTTGGCGACCATGAACTTCAATGGAGGCTTTGACTTGTCAAACATGATTAGTATTCACCGTGTGTAGGTATGCACATCGATATCGTTGTATTAAATTAAAAAGATGGTTCGCCAAATCCAAACCAGCATACTATCTGTCAGCCTCAGTCGTAAAACTGGCCAAAATTTTATCCAAATTTGCAGTGTGTATAGTATTGCATTGTTGCTTACTTTGTTACATGACAGCTTAAAGCCAATATATTATCCTTTGCTTTTCGTGCATTTGGTTCATTTCCAATATAACAGTCAAAATCTTAAGAAGAATATTCAAAACCTAACTTGTTAAAGTTTCAATGTGGATGTTACACTTTTAGAGAAAACAGTGAAAACCGTGCACAGCGTTTTGATCGCGAAACTTGCTGTTTGCCTATTTTTGCCTGCATGGCAGCAAGCACACTCTTACAAACCATCGTCGGATCGGACTTTAAGACAGTCGGGCTTGATTAGGTATTTAGGGTCAGCTCAGCGCAGCTGACACTCATTCAATAGAATCACAAAATATCCCTGAACATCATTTACTTGAGTACATGCGGTGAGTGAGTGGCAAATCTAGTCTATCCGCTAAACCGATCGATGCATTTTCATCGGCGACCAGATTTCAGTTCTCAAGAAACTAGACAAACCACTTAGAATTTTGACTTTGATATCTTAAGTGTACATAAATTATCTTGTTAAAAAAAATTAGCATGTAAACACACACTCTTTCATTACACTTTTCTTGTTTTTTCCCTAATTAAAGGGAGTGATTTAAACTATCGGTCATGCACCGTTCATGCATCTTGGTATCTTACTTTCATACTGTGACCATCTTGCTATGAGTCGATGCCGTCTGTGCGCCAGTTTGATCCGCCGACGTGGTTGATCCTGTCAAATTAAACAGATTGAGACAAATTTTAAAATTTAAACCAGTACTCCCTCCACGCCAACGGTGAAGAAGAGCTAATGTTGAAGGACATTATTGTGAGCGCCATGAGCGCCGCGAGCGTTATTCAGTTCGTGTACATTTGGATCAAGTCTAATCAGTTTTGTTTTAGAGAGGGGGAAAAACCCGAAAACTGCGGTTTGTGAGAACCGGTTTTTTTTCTTCAAATCCTTGGTATTTAAAACGTTTCGAAAATGTTTATCGAAAAATAGTAAATACTAGATTTGTGTGATAATTTCATCACACTTACACGATACCTTTCAATATAGTGATGTACATTGTAAGATGTACATTGCCGATTGTGTGCCGTGAAGTAACAAGTAAAATGGCGATTTCAATGAGACGACTTTCTTTCTGAGCCGCACAACGTATTTCGTACGTGGTCCCTAATGTATGAAAAGGATCTACGCATGCCCGTATCCCCATTGTGTATGTGCAATTTCATCACGGAGCAAATTCAGCACAGTCCATCGGAACAGGGCGGCGTTGCGCACGCTTGCAAAACATCTGTTTTAAGACTGTCCAGACTCGTACAATAATGTCTTTTTCCTTCAATAACAACATGGTGAACTTTGGTAATCTGTTGAAGTCGTGGACGGGTGAAAACAGGACATCGTTGAATTGATGTCACGAAAAACATTTACAAAATGTCACAACGAAACCTAAAAAGAAGTGTTACTGACAGTAAATGTATTTAATATTGACAGTATAAAAACAAAATTGGGGTATACATTTTTTTTTTTTGAAATATAATGTGACAATAGAGAATATTTTTTAAAAAACGTTAACCACTTCACGCCGGGATTATTTTTGCCGAAATTTCGATTTTCGGAAAAGGTAAAATTTTCCAGCCAGCTTCTGATATACAGCCAAACGCCACAGATGCTGATTCGCAAGAGTCATTTCAACAGTATTTGTACGATACTTGCCGAAACCATATGTTTCGACACTCTGGGGTGTGCCCTGGAGCGTTAATTGTACAACAATTGGCCGTGCACAATGGCCAATTCAATATCAACACACTGTCAACCTCCACAGACTTGTATGACTTTGTGTGTGTGTGTGTGTACAAAAGACACAAGGGATTAGCGTGTTTAGACGTCACCCGGAGGTGAGTCGAGGCAATCTTGACGTCTTAACCTGTAAGCCGAGCCTGTGTATAAAAGCAGCAAATGCGTGTTATCACGTCCTCCGTCGCGTACTGTTTTAATAGGAGATCCTATTCAAAACCCAAAACCTTAGCAGTACAAGTTGTGTGGAATTAGAGAGGACACGAATGGGAGACTTTTGCGATGCATGGTGGCAGCAAACACACCGTCCCTTTTCAATTGTTTGCACCGGTGATGGAACCATTGATCTCCATAATTATGGAACCAACGAGACTGTCTCTTTAAGCTAATGTGCGCATGTTCAAAATGACGCAACATATCAGGACCGGTGTGTTTGCTGCCACCACGTGTCTCAAAAGTCTCCCATTAATTCATCAAATTGCCATGCATTTATGGAGTATTGGCAGTTGTTTTCAGTTTTTGTTTAGTTAGAGAAAAAACAGCGTTAGGGGCCCACTTACGAGGTGAATCCGGAAAACTGATGTTAATTGGGATACGTAATATTTTGGTTAAAATGAATCTCTTTAACTTCCTGTAAATACGCTCCAGATGAGAATCAGCTGACTGTGCGCGAAGCGTCATATTTTTAGTCGCTTAATCCGATTGCTTAAACTTTTTTTAACAAGCTTCGTAATTACCTCTTTCCTCTTCGCCTTGAACTTGACACAATCTCAGAAGTATCTTGCAATTGTTATATGTTTTGGATAATTTTTTTTTATGATGGTGATGTCAGATCTAAGGGGAATAAGTACACTGATGAGAGTTAAGACTGAGACTATCGGGAATTGGGAACGGAGAGAGAGATGAACTTTTTAAAAGTTTTGTGAAGTTTAAAAAAAAATTATTTAATCGGCATTAATTTAATTAAACCATTTGCTCATGTTATGTGAAATAAAATGATGGACTCAGTTTTTTTCGACGGTAAGTGTTCTTCAATTTTGTATAACTATTCAGCTGACACAAAGAACGTTGCGAATTTTCAGCGCGTTTCTAGCAATGAGTAAATTTTAGAATATGTAGTAAGCTTTATGGTATTCGTCTTTGGTTGTATAAAAAAAAGTTACATCCAATTTTTTTGAGTAAAAAAAATTAATTTGCCTCGAGAATTCCAAATTGCACCATTGAGAAGATTTTCTCAAAATCCTTCCAGAAAGACACGTTTGATAATTGTCATTTTTGTTAATAAATATAGAGTCTCTGAAGGTTATTGTGCTGAAGGACAACAGAAAATACACATAGACAAAAAATCCTCGGTTAACACAGAGTGAGTATTACTTGACCGTCGAGCAAGGGCCTGGCCTTCCGTTACGATGTAATCTTATCAACACAATCGGATTTACCTTCTTTCCTTTTTCCTATCCCAACATCCGAATCATCTACAGGGCCGCAGAGCAGTAAATATAGGCCCAAAATTGCCTACGCCGGCCACATCACGATTTGCATGGCTTCAAATTCTCTGCCATTAAAGCATTTTTGGCCATGAATTTGAGGGTTTGTGAAAAAAAGGGCGGAAGCCGTGAACAGGACTGCCAACTATATATTTCTGTGAAATTTGGATGAAATTGGGCAACAAACTCGCTGTATTTTGCAATGGAGAGAAGGCATCACTGTTCACAAAAAAATGGCGATGGGCTTCATGACTTCTTTTAGGGGTGATCATCTTTGAATGGAAATGTTTCCAAAAAAATATTGGATTGACCCCCAAACAAATTGAACAGAAAATGAAAGCTGATGAAATCAGCTTTGATATGATGTGCGCCTCGAAAAACACCTCGGAGAATTGTGTGTGTTTTTCCTGATTTTAGAAGTGCGAGCATTTAACACTATAGGGCTTTTGGCAGTTTATTTACTGGTCTAAAACCATGCATATGCGCTAGCCTTGGGCCACTACAGGGCGGAGCCTCCTCCCCCACCCCCCTCTACGCCTGTCCAGTCGTAACCCCTCCCTCTTCTGTCATCCACCACAACGATTCCACACGTGTAACCTCTTAGCTTTTACTTCACAGTGGCGACGGCAACTTTAAAACCCTTGGACATGACACAACTGTAACGGAGAGTGCAAATTGAGGTGAAGAGGAAATTAGTCATGTTATATAAAGCTAGGCTTGGGACAAGGCCCTCGAGGATATGACAGCTCCCTCCCCCTAGCCCACACGAAGCACAGTCATTCGCCTTGAAATTGAAATCTGTATAAGAGTGGGATTCTTTTGACAACTATAATGGTTGGCGAGACGCCATGTTGGATATTTCTTACATTGAAGGACCTTGTCTTCTCTTTGCCGCGATGTCTTAAAAACTGCGCAGCGTCAAACTATTTTCCCCAAGTGAAAAAAACGGGCTACAGCATCCTCTTTAATGTCCTGCTCCCCACGTCAACAATCTTGAGCAAGAATGATCTAGCGTTGCATCACTACCATAGTTGGCAACTGCCCCGTGCCCGGATTACACTTACATGTAATGCGCATGCTCAGACGCACATTCAGCTGAAGGACCAATCAGTAACGATGTTTAGTACAAGGAGAATGTGAGTAAAGTGAACACTTTGCTCTGTAACTAATTTTGATTTATTATTGTCAAACCAATGGAAATCTTCATAAACGCGCATGTTTAGGTAAACAGATTAACTGCGCATGTGCGCACATGCGCGTTTCGTCTTTAGGTAAACCAAACACAATGCAGTCTCAGCATGTACGCCAGGAAATCATGGAAAGACGTATTGTGAAGTCTAGACTAAAATACTCGGGACGTACAATGTACGTACGTACGCATACGTGCGTTGGAAGAGAGTCGAAAATTTAGTTCAGGGGTGAGTTCAGTTCTCCAGTGTTTAATGTCGCACGATTCATGACAAGCGGCGTCGAGTTGCCGCCCCTTTTTGCCATGGTATGCCGACTGTGACAAACCTTGTTACCGATCAGGAAGAGAATTTGAGATAATGATTGTCAAAGTGAAAGGCCTATAAGTGATGAATAATTTGTTACTTTTAAAGTGCCTAAAACGATTAAAAGGAAGTGCCACTTTTCATCTCAAAAACCTTAAATGGCAACTGGTTTCTCCACTTTGCCAAGCGTTGATCAACATATCAAAACCATAATGTTTCGGCAATCTCCTTGAAAGTAAATCAAATTGGCTTAAATTATGCAAGGTATTAAACTTCTTGCCAATTGTCGGGTAGAAACGCATTGCCCAACTTTTTTTCACCATTCCCCCTTAGTTTACACATGGTTTACATAATGGATTCTAAATGTCACAGTTGTTTTTATGTCAGCAATAACCTTTAGCGTGGCCATTCTCAGATATCAAAGGAACAAATCTTACCGCATTCTCATCCTTGACTCTTCTCGTGATAGAGTTTCCAGCGTGCGTTTGCCCCATGGTTCCCCCGGCTTCACACGGGCGACGGATCTCGCCAAGGTGCGCTCAACGAAGCCCCCTCTCATGGACAGATAAAGAAAAAACCTAGACGCTTAAGTGCCCGCTGCAGAATATCACTGGATGGAAGCCAGCCTAACAAGTCGACTTTATCCAGGCTTCTAAACCGAGGGTGAGTCACACAGCTTGTCTCCCTCGCTCGGCTCTTTAATGTCAAGTTTAGCAGGCTGAGTCGTTGACCGGGAACCAGGCTACGGAGGAACCAGGGGAAAGTAACATAATGCCGAGCGAGTTACATGCGCCGACTGATTCAATCGAGCACATGCACCAACACTCCATTGTAATTTGCACAACTCACAAGAGATGGACAAATATTATAGCGGGCTTTTGCATGATGAAAACTTGATGTTGCACGCGCACAAACTGTGCAAACCAGGTCGGGGTGAGTCCCTCGAATGTTCGTCCTAACCTGTGGCAACTTGGAGACTTGAATCATCAGCTCAGATGGCCCCAGAGTTGGACTAAAATGTTGAGGGACCAATCGTTCTGGAATAAGGTGTTACAGCTGCTGTTCAAACCCATCAAACTTGCAGCTAGCTCCAGTGCGCCGTCAAATGATTCTAACTGTCGAGACAGACTTATGCTAAATATTACATAATAAGACCTGCTAGGCCTAATACTGAAATGAGGAAGCGATAGTTTACTGCACTTGATTTTCCAAATAAAAACACAAATCATTGCTTGAGCCGAACTCGAACCCTGGATCTTGGAGTAAATCCCAAACCTACCGAAATGTCAGCTCACAAAAGTACAACCAGCCACCAGTTTCTACCAACTAAAAAAAAGAAGCTAAATCAACTCCCAATTAAGATGTCTTTCGGCGCCGAGGAAATCTTGCTGATTTTATTTCTGACGGTGCCAACTACCAAGATAATCAGTTGTGTTTCCGTGCATGGAATTAGTTCACTTCTCACTAGTAGTAGTATGGAAATTTGTATCACATACGGTGTCCTGTTGACGGAGCTGGTATTCCAGATTGCAAAATGGAGAAGGCGTTTTTAAAAGTCACATGATAACTGGCATATAATAGGCAAGGTCCGCGTTTTTTCCCCGTACAATAGTGCGAATAACTGAAATTATTATTTTGATTAGGCGCATCGGGTTTTTTTTTGTCTCAGTATTTTCGATCTGCAGTTTGGTCTACGACGGAATGTTTACATGCTTGCAATATTTTCGAAGGCAACATTTCCTGTGAAAATTTTGCAAGAGCAACATTGGAATCTCAGTTCACTTGAGGGCGGTTTCCCCAAGATGGTGTCGTCCTCGTTACTATTTTCATCAGTTCTCCTAGACCGAACAAAAGGAGTTTTTTTTAATGGGGGCTACATTTTGTCATGACAGAAGCAGCTCACAATTGAGAGAAAGGTTACATTTCTCAACCCACTGTTTCCACTCATTACACTCCCCGGACCTGAATCGCCGTGTGAGAATCTGAATCTATAGGCCTATAGGGAAATATATAGGCCTGTAAGGAAATACAATGTATATATGTCATGATATAGCTATATAATTGTAGCATAATTATCCAAAGTTTAATGTGCAGATTATGTTTGCCATAAACGACGAATTAAAGAGGCTCCTTTTCGCATTCCTTGCTGTCTAAAATCACTTGGATACGAACATTGGCCTTTAGTATAGGTTTTCCCAGCTATTTTAAAACATTTTTCATTCAGATTCACCAACTCTAACATTCAATTTCGTCCGAGAAAAATTTCACATGTTTTTAACCAAACCAGTTTAGTCGTTACCATTCAATTTCAAACTTTGGTCACCCTTTTTAGTCACCGGGTCGAGAATAGCCGTCATTACAGATCAAGTCCGTCTAAGCTGTTTCCGAATGGCAGCATTCAGCCTGAGAGATCAAATTCGTCTTATATAAATCAATTAGACGAATTTGCTTTCTGAATCACTGACACGATTCTGCGTAGACGAGACGAAATCGAATACACCGGGTCGAAAACGTGTGCTCATTGTTTGAATTTGTTTGGACTAAATTTAAAATTGTCTAACAAAAGACGAAATTAAACATTAAAAGTGCACTAAAGCGTATTGCTGGACGAAATTTAATATAAGAATCGGTGAATTCGAACGAAAAATGTTTTAAAATAGCCGGGAAAACCTATAGAATTGAGAACAGACAGTCGTGTTTTGTCTCAGGCTCGGCGCCCCCCCCCCCAATAGTTACTAGCATGGTGCTGTGTATCGCGTTTTTTTACAGTTTGCTTGCCTCGAAATATCTCTACACGCATATTGGGCCGAGGATGCACAAACCGTCCCCACATGTTAGTGCCAGTACACACGCGCAATATGACGGTATGCTAGCCGGTGCCGCGGCAGGCGAACTAAACCTGGCTAATTACTGACATGATTTCAAGTCTATAGATTGATCACGAAGGAACCTATATGAGCAATACGATAAGCTTCATTGAGTAAATTTTGCAGGTGCAAAGTGATTATGAAGGGATGAACGCCTTAGGGCACGATCCATCTTCTACACCCCCTCCTCCTCACCGTACCCACACACACTATGCAAGCCAGTTCAGAATTTGGAAAATCATGATGGCCCAAATTATAAACCACACGCGGGAAACCACATCTTCCGATCCCGCAGTAAAATCAAGATGACAAAGTACAGTCTCGGCTATGCCAACCAGCCATTAGCGGTAGTGGGGTGTCCTTTCTTCCCAGGTTCAACTACATCTAAGCCCGGGCCTGGCATGACGAATGTGACATTGAGCAGGTGGACGATTTAAACAGGTGTCCGTTGTACATCCACAAGTTGACAGTTGAACACATGGCAAGGCGCAGATAAGGCTCAACTTAACTGAGGGAATGTCCTAACATTTCGCTGACACACGCTACCATGCATGATTCCACTGAAAATGTATGCGCTTGCCAACTTGAGCAGCATGTAAAAGAATGCACCACAGGTAGGCAAGACTTTAGCTGAGCATGGAAGCAATCTTGCACTTGTCGTCGGAATTCTCTAAGCCGTATCAGAGCTCAGAGGTACAACCTGCCTCGTCCCGTCCCCCCCCCCCCCTCGCCATTGCAAAACTGAGAAAAAAAAGAATCCTTTTGTTTTCGTACATCAGCGGTAGCACAAGTCTGAGCCTGATCTGAACGTCTGAGCCAAGGGGTGTCGGACGCTTCGCCCCATTTCCACGTCGCCCCATGTCACTTCGCCCCTAACCACTTCGCCCCATCCCCACTTCGCCCCATCCCCACATCGCCCCATCTCCGCTTCGCCCCATCCCCACTTCGCCCCATCCCCGCTTCGCCCCATCCCCACTTCGCCCCATCCCCACTTCGCCCCATGTAGTATGAAAAAGGTGAAGGCTAGGGGTGCAGACCAAATAAACTGCCAAAGACCCCAGATAATAAATGCTCCCAATTCTAGAAACTTAGGAAAAATACAAACTCTCTGATGAGGTGCTCGAGACACAGATGAGAGAAATGATGGCTCTATCCCATTCAGAGACGCCTCTCCTATTGGCTTGTGAATCATCAGCCGCTGAAAGCGGCTGGATTCAAAAGAATCCGTAGGTATGGGTCAGTGAGTTAAAAGGAACTCACTGCCTTGAGGAAAATGTTCCGTCAAAATTTGTCTGATATGTGACACTTACAACTTCATTTAGATGAGATTGGTTCCTCCAAGAGTGAAATTAGGATGTCAAAGGTATTGTCGTTCTCAGATAAGTGGGAGACGGGTTGGTATAGCCGGGTTGGATCTTTTACTTCAAGCTTTTTTCTTGGTAGGGGAGAGCCTAGCTTGAAAGGTTGGTTATGAATTGTTCATAATTCTTTCCGTTGGTTAGCAATTAGTGAATCTGTTGAAATTGTTTTTTTAAGCCAAAAAAATAGATGAGATTTTTTTTTACATGTAACGGCTGGGGCGAAGTGGGGATGGGGCGAAGTGGGGATGGGGCGAAGTGGGAATGGGGCGAAGTGGAAATGGGGCGAAGTGGGGATGGGGCGATGTGGGAATGGGGCGAAGTGGGGATGGGGCGAAGTGGTTAGGGGCGAAGTGACATGGGGCGACGTGGAAATGGGGCGAAGTGTCCGACATTCCCGCCAAGCATGCACATGTTATGCGACCCCTTGCGCAAACCAAACTTATAAAATATTGTGACGTCATTTTAATAATTCGAGCAGAAATTCGGCCTTAGCTGTTGATTGGTCATTTGGATGCCTTACAGAAGACCCGACAGGAGGCGCCCGCTGAATGTTCAGAATCCGGAGGTCAAGACGCAGTCCTGTTTTGCATAATGGCCGAATCTGCTTGGTCAATTGAAGCTCAGTTGCTGTCGGCTATCGACCCAACAGTCCCAGCTATTAATAACCCTAACCCTAAATATAGGTTTTCCTGGCCAATTTCCGAATTTTCCGATCATTTTCATTATCAGCCATTCAATTTCGCCTGATTTTTCCACATGATCAAATTGGGGTTTCTTCATACGAAAGTGCCAAGGTGTATGGGTTGAAGAAAACGAGTACAAAACTATGGAGAATAAATGCACATTGAATGTGCCAAGTCTGAAGTCGATCGGATTTACGAAAGTGCCAAAGTGTATGGGTAGAAGGAAAGGAGTCTGAAAAAGAAAAAAAAAGGGGGGGGGGACTTTAACAAAAACAAGAGCTGTTTCTGAGTATGTACTCCGAAACAGCTAATTAAGCCTAAATCGTTGATTCCATCTTTGGCGTCACCACCTAACTTTTAGCCAGGCATGATGTCATCATAGTCGGCCTCAGTTGACCCCCAATATCCCCAGTCTCTCTCAGAATGTGTACTTTTGCGCAAGCCTTTGAGGGATTCTCGACTAAATTTGCTGTTGAAATGTCAGTCCTCCCGAAGGGCACGGTGCGGGACTCGGACACTTTTACCGGCGGGCACGGAGGAGGGGGCAGGGGGGAACGGGTGTGACTAAGTCCCCTCGACCCCGGGGGGCTAATGTCGCTCAATTCCCCCGTGTGTCCAAACTACCCGTGTGTCCGCTATGAAGGTCGAGTTCAAGTGCCCCGCGGACCGGAAACTCTTGGGTGACCAATTCCAATTCATATCCCGTCCCCTTTCCAGATGGGCAAATTTACGGACGGTGCATACGTAAAAGGTATTGCCGGGTTCATTTAAACTCGCTATGTAACCTCTTATACAAACTTAATCGGTGAGATTTAACCTTCCAATCTGATTTTATTGCAGTAGCATTCACAATTATGCATAGGTGATGTTCAGTGAGGTGTCTAATAAGAGTACCGTGTTCAAAATTATGAAAGGTGTCTTCATGGCGGCTTTTCATAAAATGGGCTGATGGCCTTTCATTCAAGTGTATACTAATGTATACTAATGTCACAGTTTCTTCCACGGATTTTGTGAAGGAAACTCAAGGAATTATTGGAGGATACCTGTCATGATCAATGCATGAGTAATTAAGACAATCAATTTTGCACGTGTTATGTTGACCGAAATCTTTCAAATGAGCCGGCATACAGCGACAGAAAAGAGATAGCAAACAACATTGCTATATACTTTACGTGGCTACAGGTTTTGTTTTCCACCGACAGTCTTTCAAGAGCTCGGCACGTCACTGAGTGTCGTATGAGCGAATACATCCCCTCCGTGCGTGATCGGCCACACCCTCACCAAGACCCCCTCCTTATTACTGATCTTACCGTCCCTATACCTCAGCACGGTCTAATAATTGTAAACAGTTCTGCGTGTTTCCCTCCTTGACCTGCAAAA